TCAAGAGTCTAAATAACAACATTAATGTCGATTTTTAAGATACCAGTCAATCTCACTTAAATTCTGGGGAAGATGATGATCATCGAAAGGTCCATAAAAGACGAAAGACCTGACTTTTTAGTAAACCACAACTGGCTCTTGTGTGGATATTAGATGACCGGCCATTATTGCGTCTATCCAACTCCATCCAAATCCTTGGTTTTTTTTTTTTAAACCAAAGTGAGACAAAATATTTTAACCATGTTACTACTAAAATTATAATTAAACAGAGAAACTAGGAAGGATATTTTCATATTTAAAATGGTATCTTAAAAAATGAAATATGGCATAGATCATAGATGTAAATTTTTCATATGATAATTATGTCTTTTGTAACAAAATGATAGTACTATATCATATTGGCTGCTGTTAATAATATTGACGGTGCAAATACCGATGTTCCAATTGATGGTTTTCAATATGATCAAGTTTAAGATTTATTTGCAGTTTTTCTAAACTCAAGATTCTAGAAACAAATTCGTGTCGTTTACCGATTAATTTTCATGTCTACTCGCGGATACTAAACTCTTTATCATTCTGGAAAATTCGAATGATAATGTAGACTAATTCTACAAATCACTACCCCACAGAGAAAAAAGGTCATTTACAAATCACAATTAATGTACTAAAAAGCGAATTAACAAAAAAGGTAATCAGACAAATGCGTCTTGAAATCAAACATGATTAGCCTCATCACAGGAAAAGTAAAATCAAAGCATCGGATTCAAAATCATGTTCTGTACATCAAATAATTAAGAAACCCCGGAAGATTAAGAGTTCATCAAAACAGTATTATTCTCTATTATAATTCGATACAACTTTACAAAGCTATGAGCCATTCAAAATCAGAGAAAGAGAGAGACACTCGGCCGTCAAAATCTCCCACTAGATCCGGAGGAAAAACAAAATTTGAGATCTAAAAAAAAAAAGGGTCGGTTGCTCAGAAATCGACGAGGTGAGAAGAGAAATCTGGAATAGGAGATGATCTAGGTGGACAAGGCAAGGAGAAACCGGCAATCCGTACGACGTCTCTGTCGCCTTGTCGTGTCGGAAGAATCCCGGCGGTTAGTTTAGCGAGAGCCGCCGTGTACTCCACCAGTAGCTCAGCGATGATTACAACAGAGATCATGATCGAATAATTGAAGACGAAGTTTCTTCTTTATCTCTCTCCTTTAAGAAAATGGTAGTGGAATTGAGTGACACCGTGTAGAGTAGTCTCTTTATATAGACAGCAATTCATTTTAGGTTACAGTGGTCCAAGACACCATTCGTACACGTATTTCGTTTTTTTATTTGCATTAATTTTGCTTTTTCTCATAACCAGCCACGTGTCACGCGGTCCAGACAATATCTCAGTGTTGGCGACAAGACAAATAACTCGGTGGTTACTCA